GACTTCTACTAGATATAGGTTTAATGAGTGGATACCCAATACTGATCTAATTAGGTTTAGTGAGACCCTAGTGGAACAGTATATAAGAAAATCATAGGTTATGGCGCCTAATACATCAAATCATTCTACAGCTTTCTCATCTATCCCATCCAGAGAGAAAGAAACTGATTCATTGGATTTATGCTTATCTTTTGATACGTCTAATTGAGTGTTTTGTTGGTTTTAGAGTAGTCTTAGTAGTTAATTTACGTAATTTTAGATGGTTTTGCAGATTGGCATCATTTGGAGTTCGTATGTGCATGTTAGAGTAATTTTTGGAGCTAAATTGAAATTGGAGAGCCTCGGCCTTGAAAGATGGCGCCTAGGCTTTGAAATGGTCCATTTGTAGTATAACAACTAAAGAGAAGAAAGCCTAGGCTTTGTGCAATGGAGCCATGGCGTCAACATACGGAGAAAATTGAATTTCCGCCTAGAGCCGCGGCGCCCAAAACTAGGGTCCCGACACTACTTCGAAGCATCTGTGGATAGGTTATTTTCTGCGGCGCCTAGAAGCAGGGCCGCAGCACTACTTCAAGGAGATTGGCCGATTTGGGCTTATTTGAGTTCCAAAAATTTACAAAAAATGCCATTACGATTCCGAACACTATAAATAGGATTTTAGGGTTATTTTAAGAGCTTTTTGAAAAAGAAAAGAAAGAGAGAAGACTGTTCTATGAAGGAGAAAAAGATTCGTTCAAGAACGGAGTTCAACTACGAATTCGCAAAACAGTTTTACTCTTTCCTAAATTTCTTATGTTAAATTTTATTGTCATTATGTTTTCTTTTTTACTTATGTTCTAAATTTCTAGATTAGGGCTACAAGTGTAGCCAAGACATGAATATTTAATTCCCATTATTTTCTTTCAATTAAGTTTATTCACTAAGAGTTTTCCATTCATGTATGTGTTTCTTTTATTGTTCTTAATGCTTTCAATAAATTGATCACTTATTGAATTGAATTGAAAACCTAAATTGAAACTCCAGAAAGAGATTTTTAGGAATATAGTTTCTAATAAGAAGAAATTCTAAGGTGTGTAGGATATCGAGAGATAGTAATACGACTTGCGGGGGCAATTTTGAAAAACCAAAGAACTTAATGAATTTCTAGGATGATGGGATTCACATCTAGCGATAGTGAATTTACATGTTGGAAATATTTTTAATAGGATTCCCAAAAGGACTATTAGATAAATTAAGATTTTTTGTTCTACTACATGAATGAGAGGCGATGTTAGCAAATAGTTGGAATTAAATAGGAATTGTCTTGGTGAAACTTGTATGATCTAGTGTTTTCTCTGCATTGAATTCTTTTCATAATTACTTTGAGTATAATTTGTGTTATTTTATTTTATTTTCTTTTCAGTTTTGCTCTATCTCAAAGATTTTACTTGTCTAAATAAAATTAAAAATATAAATTTCAATAATTGTTAAACTAGTGTTCGTAGAAACGATATCTTATTCACTAATTATATTACTTGTGCGATTCGTATGCTTGGAAAAATCACACCAGAAACCATTAAAGAACTAATGAGGAAGACAATAACATATTCATAATCATTGTCATTATTCCGCTAAAGAATTGATTGCTATTATCATGGATTCAATTACACTTCCGATCAATTTTTCTTGATGATTTAACATGAAATCTTGGCATTGGTGATAGTTTTTCATCAATTAAAGTTTTCCTACCATAAATTTCAATTACAATACACGTATATAAAACAATCATGTGAAAGTTCATGCGGGATACATTCAAGATTACAATACACGTATATCAAACAATCATGTGTTAAGTTCATGTGGGATATATTCATGATAAATCATGTGATCTTATGTAATTTGACAATGATTATTGTATATTGATTCGATGGTGGTGACACAATAAGAAAAATATAACTAGATGCAGAATAATCTAAAACTTTCAACGACATACGATCTAAAGACCATTGTCCAATCTATTGTCAATGAAAATGGTGAGGATAGATGATGATTTTTAAAAATCATTATTTGAATTAGTTACAAATGTCTTCTATGTTATTGTCATTTGGCATTGTTTCTATAACTTTAGTCGGGTCTACAGTAGCAAAAAGTAGGGATGTACACGGTTTGATCAAACCACCACGTCGGATTAAACCTTTTTTAGACTGCCAGTCCAGTTCCACACCAATCATTTGTTGGCAGTCTAAACTTGGACTAAACCGTCTTAGAAATAATCAAGTCCGGTTTGAAAAATTTTATAAACTGTCCAAACTGGACCAAATCGTTTCATATATATAAATATATACACACATATATATATATATATATGTATAAATGGTCCATAGACCCCCCAAAATTTAAAGACCCAAAAATCTGAGGACATGTCAATTTCAAAGTGGGTTAGGTTAGATTGGGTTGGGTTATCGGTTTGAATTGAATTGTGTATAGGCTTAGACGGACTTTATTATTAGGAAAGTTATAGGAAATAGGCCTACATTTAAAATTTATGAAAGTAAATGGCTATTTTACTAATCTATATTTCATGTTTCCATTTTTTATTTTCTAAATTTACCCTTTTCTTGTTATTTTTCCATTTCCTTTGTAAATTCAGGTTTATTCAAAATTTACCAAGTTAATATCACTTGAAAAGTAACATTACAAATTCTAATATTAAATCATGAAAATACTTGGTAAATCATGAATTTACTAAGTTAGCATCACTATTTTAAGTACTGTACAAATCCTAATACTAAATTCTGAATATACACGGTAAATTTAGGTAAGTTCGGGATTTATTAAGATTTACCAAGTTAGAATTACTTAAAAAGGAACAATACAAATTCTAATGGTAAATTCATGATTTACCAAGTTAGCATCACTTTTTCAAGAACCTTACAAACTCTAACGACAAATTCTGGATATACACGGTAAATTCAGGATTTATCAAGTTAGAATAACTTGAAAAAGAACAATACAAATTCTAATAGTAAATCCTAGATATACTTAGATTTATCTAGTTAGCATCACTTTTTTCAAGAACCGTACAAACTCATAGTAAATCATGTATATACACGGTAAATTTAAGATTTATCATGAGGGTATTTTGGAATTTTAACTGGTTGTAAATCCAAATTTACAACAGATTGACATATTTATTAACTTCACTTAAATATTGGCATATTAATTTTAATTTCTCTCAAATCTTGACCTATTTACCTCGATCTCCCTTATCATTATTTATACCTAAAGTTTTGGACAAAAAAGACTAATTACCCTAAGAGAAACTTGTGAATTTACTATTAGAGCACACGAGTCAAAATTTTTATTCTTTATTCTTGATTAATACCGTTTTAATTATTTAATTAAAAATGATATTAATTAAGAGTATATAAATTCTATTTGAACCCCTAACATTCATGAATACCCCCACTAAATTACAATTACTTTTATTATAATTTCACCTTACAATAAAATTACAATAAAACCCATTAAAAATACATCCTTTTATATATAGACCACATAAGCTATAATATACTTTATATATATATATATATATATAAACCCCATAAGCTATAAATAGAAATATTGGTTGATTTTTAATATAACAATGCGTAAGAGATGGCTTTCAAAATCATATATTTTTTTGTTTTGCTAAAACCTTTTGGGTATTTCGATTGTAATATTTATGTTGAAAAGATTTCAAAGTTCGTGTGTTATGCAATGCTTGCACACCGTAAGTGTTTTTCTTCTTGACATATAGATATATATATATATATATACACATATATATATATATATTTAAAATGAGAAAACCTTTTGTTATTGTTGAGATTGGTTAATTATATTTTGCTTTTATAAAACATGATAATATAAAAATGATAGTGTTGGTTGGGGTGGGAAATAAGAGGGTTAAATTGGTAATTGGAAATCACATAAAAAGTGTGTAAAAGGATTAATTTTTTTAAATGTATACTAGTTGAGTCACGTGCTATTCACGTAGAAAATAATTTTATAAATTTGATACTGCGTCAAAACACGTGTCTCCTTAAAAATTAAGTCCATCAATCGGAGCAAGAGAAAAAAATACTTTAAGAAAAATAAAAGAACAAAACATTGAAAAAACTAATACAAATAATAAAAATAGAAAAGGTAAAATAGAAAAAAAAAATGAGGGGGAGGGGGTGGGAGGGGTTACCACATGAAAATGTTATGTTTAAAGATAATTTTTGATATAACATGAATTACACGAAAATGAATTAAGTTGAGACAGATTTGAAGAAAATAATTTTAACCATTGAATAAAAATAAAATTAAATAGAAATATATGTAAAAGAAATTACTTTCATACGAATAAAGCGAGCAAAAATTATTTTTAAATATTTCATGTAAAAAATTGAACTATTCACAAAATAAAAAAATTAAAAGCAAAAAATTTAAAAGGTAAAAAGAATAAAGATAAAAAAGTAAAGAAGTGAAAAAAATAAAAAGGAAAAAGAATGATGAGAAAAAACGGTCACATAACAGCTTAAAGAAAAGTAATATTGCAAAAGCTTTTGGTTTTTTTATTTGTGTTGTAAGACCAAGGAAAAAGTAGTGCTACAAGAGTTTTTTGATTTTTTATGTATTGTTATTATTATATATTATATTATAAAATATTTATTAATTTAGGTGTATTTATTAATGATTCATTTAGTTTATTAATTTAAATTAATACG